TGCGTTTGTAGAAACTGCCATGGGCACTTCTCTACGAGGCCTTGGTGATTTCCAGCAGCAGTATCGAGAAGCGGTTCATCGGATGGGCGAATTTCTTGCTTATAGGTATAATAATTCATGTTATTTAGATGTAATAAATAACTGTATATCAATATTTTGTTTTAATTAAAATTTAAATTCGTATTGTATAATTATATGAAGACGTAAGTATAATAATACAATACTTAATGTAAAGGTAAATTATTACTTTCGTTAATTAGAAATTTATGAATTACATGTATGTTAAATTATTTATTTAAAAATAGATAGAAATAAATTTAAGAATAAATAGTTAAAAAATTGTACTATGCTTATACTATATATATAAGATTTTATATATCTCTCTAGCATAATTGTATTAGTGTTTAAATGTATTCTCTTTTAATATGATTATTGAAATATTACTAATTGTAAGAATATATTAAGAAATTAAAAAATATATTTTACCAAATTATACTTTCTTACAATAACATGCCCAACATTTATTAATTATTATTTAGAATAATGAGGCAATGGCTGCACAACGATTGGATATTCTCATTAACGTCGAAAGGTAGAGAGCAAAAGAAGATGTTAAAGGTATTACATGGATTTACTGAACGAGTAAGTAATAATGCTACTTAATATTATATTTAAACATTATCTATTTGGAATTATTAAAACACAAAAAAATTACATGATTATTGTGTAGAAAAATTATAATTTATAAATGTTAACAACACATTACTATCTATCTATCTATCTATCTATCTATCTATCTATCTATATATATATATATATATATATATATATATATATATATAATGTACCTAATATATTTATGGAGAAACCATTAATGTTGTATTTACATAGATAATTGCTGAAAGAAAGCTATACCATGATCGCACTAATGGTCAATACTTGAAGAGCTTTGATAACGACACGTCGGCAAAGAGAGATGACGCAGAACCGATAGGAAGTACGTAATG